AGTCAAACTTCATGGGATCAGCAATAAATTCAACTTAGGAACGTTTTGAATTGAGCTAAAATACAAAGCCCTTTTCTCCTGGGAAACATAGAATTGCTCAAAAATGGTAAAATTGTGATATTCTGAGGCTGAAATTACTTCTTGAATGAGTTGAAAAGCAACCTGAACTTGAATGCAAGATTCATTTGCCCAATTAAGTCTCTCATGTACCTCCTTTTAAAACAAATCAATTCCTGTTTTAATGCTTTTTTTCTTTCTTGTGTTAATAATATAAAAGACAACAGGCCACAGAAAGTTTGACTTATGGAGGTTTGAGGGTAAAATCCTTTGACTTAGGGAGGTTTTAAACGTATTAATCCAAGGAGATTCAGACAGGACCTGAAAAAATTCAACTTAGACGGGGGGGTATTTGACTTGGGAAGGTTTGAGTTATCAAGGTTCAACCGTATAATGTAAGTCTAAGGGAAAATGAGACTCGGACACTCTCAATGCACCAATTACGTCCGCATCTCGGGGCCTCACTGTAATCAGTTGGACCTCAACAAACCCGAACCTTCACAATTGCAGAGAAACCCTAAAACCTTTTCAGAAAAATACTCTGCGGGACAAATGAAAAAAAAAAAAAAATCGTGACACAGAGAAAATCGTCGTCCAAGAGAGTCCCGCAGCACCCTGCTGCATCAGTGCACATCAAGTACCTTGAGCAGCGGAAGTGCAAATGCAGATTCCCTCAAAAGGAGTCGGATGAGACGATGCACGGCCCCAGCACTGCTGCCATTGGAGTAGACGGTGCAGAGATCGAGGATATTCGACGGATCAAACACGCGTCGCTTCACCAAGAAGACCAACAGGTCCTCGCTCGTTTTCCCGCTGATTTCGCAGCTCCGAAATTCCGCGAAACGCGCAAAAATGCCGAAAACGAGCCGATGAATGGCCTGCAGCGATGCGTTCGTCTCACCGTCCAGATCTATACACAGAGAAAACAGAAGAACAATCATGAATTTTCAGCACACAAAAAAAAATAAAAAATCTTCTTTATCACATTCACACTGGAATTGTTCGACATGCATTTACAGTGAGACCCCCAGATGCGGACATAATTGTTGCATCAAGAGTATCTCTAAGTTGAGTCTGGTTTTCCCATAGACTTACATTATATAATTTTTAATTGGTGCTTTATGGAAGAAATATTCTTCAGAATTCCATGGAAAATTTTTTTTTGCCACTTGGATTTGATTCAGTGAATATCTTTTCAACCCAATAAGAACAATTGGAGCATTGAATAGAATACCACTGTACAGTTCATTGAAATGTTGGCATCTGTAAAAATAATATCCAAGTTACAAAGAGAGAAGGAAGTCCCTCTGTGCTATAGGTATTTTTTTTTTTATGGATGGATGGGAAAGCAATGGAAAAAGTACCAAAGAATTTTTCTTGCCTAGATTTCAGGGTTAGAAATATATGTTTCTTGCAATTAAGCCTAATAATAGTCAATTTGCCAAAAAATTTTTGGCAATTTTATCATGCAATGTCCTCATGTCGAGTCAGTGTCCCTATGTTGGGCCTTTTTTATGATTTGTTTCATTCAAAATAAATTTCCCCATGTCAAATTGTCCGCATGTGGGGTCCACTGCAATAAAGGTTCACTCGATCATATTTTCCTACACGAAAACAAATTTAATCACGCATTTCAATCCACACTTGAAAAAAAAAGAAGCTCACCGAGTTCCCAAATGTCGTAGGGACGACGTGCGGAACGAAGGTACGACTCCAAACACGGAACAAAACTCGCATTTCCGGCGGCAAGTGTCCAGAATTCCTTGTGCGGCAACCGTAAAGCTAGCGACAAATCCCGCCGGATCTCTTTCACAGTCTCTGCCCATATTTCCTTGGAGTTTTCGCTTTCGAACGCGAACACTGGGGCATAGTAAGGAAGATAGTAACTGTCGACAATCGACATCACACGCGGGGCAGCACACTGCGGGGGAAGAACACCGAAGCGGGAGTTTCAAATACAGAAGGTACTATCGTCAAAGCGTAAATCGATACTGGTGACATCTACGCGACAAAACGCAAACGCGTGCGGCGAAGTTTCGTTTGAACCACTCCAGAGAGAGCCATGGAACGTTGTCGCAGGATTTTTCATTCATGATACTGCATTCCAGGTCATTATGCTATTTTATCAGAAGAGAGGAACCAGATTTCTATAAATTTCTACAAAATATTCAACGTATCTGTTCTTCTTTTAACATGCCATCAGCCATGCATCCCAATCTGGGATCAAGATTTTTGCTTCTGCTGAGATAATATAATTCAATCATATAAATGCTGATTAAAAGATGGCAATATAATGGACTCTGAGTTGAAAACTTTATTGGTTCCAGAAAAAAGTTTGTTAACCAAAAAAATTGTAAACTGAATTTGATTCCCCCACAAACTTCAATGGGGAAGAATTCAATCCATTCTGTGAACCAAAGAGACAAATGAACATGGAATATAAAAAATTCAAGACCATCAAATTACACACTGAAGGATACATGTCAAGTGAAAATGAAATTTCTTTTTTCAATACAGCAAAGTAAAGATAAATTATACCTTTCTAACAATGGAACAACTAAAAAAACCAAGCACAGGAAAAAAAAATTATTGTCACAGGAAAGCATATGAATAATGTAGCTGGAAGATTTTAAAACACAAGATGACACACATTGAAGTGCCAAAAGGAAAGGATTTTCATATCAGTGCATGGGTGAATTATTCAAACTTAAGATTGTACCATAAAATCACATGGTTAATTTTCAAATTTGGGATTTTGCCCTAGAAGAAAAGTTTGTTGACCAAATTTTTGGTTTGCTAACCAAGGAATTTCCCCTCAAAACCAACCAAGCGGTTTTTTTTTCAAAACAAGGGTCCATTGTACATTCAAAATTGACCAAGCTTAAAAGAAAATGCTAAATTTTTAAAATTAGCTGCAGTAAAAAGTACTTTTTAAGCATTTCAAAAATTACGCTTGAAAATGCACGAGATTTCCCTAAACATTTAAATCTTCAGAGCTCGTCAAACGAAAAAATCTCTCTTCAGCCGAAAAGACCACATTTTTCTTTTCTCCAAATGATCACAGCAGTGATTTTCGACCACTACTCTTCCTTCGAAAATCCACGTTCAAACAAACCTTCGCCAATCGTTCTTAATTTTCAGACAGAAACAATCATGAAGCAAAGCACTGCAAAAATTTGGCATAATTCTTTCCACGAATAAATAAAAAAAAAACCCCCCACAGAAGCTCGCATTATCACAAACGAACGATCCAGATATAAAAAAGCAGATAATCATCCACAACAGCACTTTCCAATTGTTTCCTCCTTTGGCACAAGTCCCACGTATAAATTCCTTTCTTTCTTTTCTCAACCCACAGAAACCCCCATGAAATACCCCCAATAACAGTTGCCGCCTCCACGGAATGGCTGGAAGAAATCAACTTCCCCTTGAACACAGTCTGTCAGAGGATCCAAAACGCGTCGCTTCAACACAACGTAAGTCACATACGCCATGACACAAACGCGGAATTGGTGATGGAATGACGACGGATACACCAGGGAATGCGTCGTTGCGAAATCCGACAGCAGGGATTTGAAAGATTCGTAGCAGTTCGTCACGAGACCCAACACGACACGTCTCCAACCCCGCCGTTCAATTCGCCCACTTCTCACGTCACAATTCACTGCACTCTTGTTGCCGTTCACAACCCGGTTTTCCATGATCGCAACAAAAAGGGGAAGATGAACAACCTGGAATGCTGAACATGGAAACATTTAGTAACAATAAAAAAAATATGAATCAATACACTGAAACAGTTGGTCATTTAGAAGGCGAAGAGGTTGAAGCAATACAGTCAAGTCTCAATTTAATGCCATCATTTTTCCACACACATTTTGGGACCCCAAATTAAGGGTATTGTATGAGAAGAAGTTTCAGTTGAGGGTTTCTATTGTAGACAAAATAAGCTTGTTTACATACTTTTTTTTTTAGGTCACTGAGTCTTTTTTGTAAGAGATAAAAAAATTTTCAAGCTCAAATGCATTTTCATTAAATGTATTTTCAATACTGTACATTTATTATGACAAAATATATAAAAATTTTAAAAGTATTCTGTCCAGTGGAAGAGCAGAGCTGTTTTTAGAATTTTTGTTTGAAATCAAGTTTTAAATCAGGTGCCTTCACGCAGAAATCACCAAAATTTCAAGGAAAGCTCCAACTTCAAATACAACATTTTTAATTAAGGAAGGTGTCATGCAAAAAAAAATGAATATTTTCAACTAATTAAATTCAGGAATACAATGTTCAAAATCATCCTGAGGTTTTATGTGAGCACAGGTTTGTGATTAGCAGTAATAACCCAATGGTATCCCAATGAAAGGGCCTCCATTTCTTTGATTTTGGCCAATTTTTCACCCATAACAAAAACATATTTTTTTTTACCAATAAGTGAGTTCACACTAAATGAGGGATTTTACTCAAAGAAACAATTGAGGTTGATTCGTTCCAGGGAAATTTGTGGCAATGAATTGAGGGTTGACCGTTATTGAATGATGCCCAGGGTTATCTGAGGAAAATATATATTTTCGCATCCATTCATAGTCGCTGAATCACCACCATTTTCCACAGGTTGGCTCAATTCACCTGATCCGTTTCCCTTCCAGTGCCAGGATTTCTATCACACTTTTCAGATGCTCGAATGCACCGCGGACCCAATTATGCAGCTCCATTGCCTGCGAATGAATAATTCACATTCACACAAAGGTTTAGGTTCACACACAAATATAAGGATATCAAGGAAAAATTTCCCAAAAATAGACTTTAGACAGAAATTTCTCTGAATCGAAGTACAGTGAAGTAACCACGGGTAGATGTCACTGCCACTCAATCACAATGGCATTTTGATTTTAAACACACACACACACTAGTCCATCAACTGCCAAATTTCCCTTACCTTCACTTGATTTACATTTAGATGCACTAGGGAATTTTATTTTCTACTTTCAAAACTTTGAAAACATACATTTCTTGAATATTTGAAATTTCTTCTTGATCCCGAAATATGGAGACTCACAGCAGCCAGTGCCATTCATATTGAAAGGCTGCATTGAAAGGGGATGCCACACATTAATTTTTTTTTACTTCAATCTTTTTAAAAATATATCTGAGGAAGATTGTACATTTTATAATTTTTCTCCATCATTAGAAATTTTATGATTATAGATTTTTAGATTTCATGAATAATATCTGGTTATGAACATCCATTTTGAAACATTCATGATGATATAATGTCACCTGGAACAAAATACTGTACTGTAATTCATATTTCAGGGGTTTGGTTTTCATGATCATTCTTTGAAATTGTTTTTCTCTGAATCACAAAAAACCCTAATGATCATGCAGCCAATCAACCGAAAAACTTTAAAAATATTTTAGTCCCCGCTGATGAATGAAATTCAACAGCTTCAGGAGCATCTGAATACTTAGAAAATTGAAAAATTATTTTTAGGCTTCAAACATTTTTCAAAAATAATTCCCAGAGCAAAAAGATCCCTTGATCCCCAAGTAAGTAGGGCCCACATCAGGGAATGTGCAGATTTCCATTCGGTACAAGACTCAATTCTGTTTTTAAAATACATAACTTTCCTCTTTTCCACCAAAACAAAACGTAAATCTGAGACCCCCCCACCCAAAAAAAAAAAAACCATGTAACCCCAATAACTCACTTCTCCGTAAGTTTCCTTCACTAGGGCCACGACGACGGAGTCGTCAAACACGCAACAGCTCTTCATCTTGTCACACAACACTGAAGCCGTGGCTTCGTATTGACCAATGAAGCACAAGGAAAGTTGATAAAGCGGGGGCAAGACGACGCCGGGGGTCCGCTTGTGACTCGACGGATCCAACACCAACAGGGCTTCAGCTGCTCTGTGCAAAACTTCGACATGAGCCGCAGCCAGAGTTGCCAAAATTCGGCGCTTAGACGACCGGAAGCGGATTTCATCTTCTGACACGTCTGCGTCGAAATTCTCTAGCTGATCGGCAACCTGGAGAAAATAACGGCACAATGAGTTCTCCTCACACAACGAACTTCTTGAAATTCTTTGACCAGAAAAAAAAAACACAGCGACTCGCATAATGAAAACGTCACGCATTACGAATTATTATTAATTTTCTCTTATGCCGGACACTTTAAATTACAATTCGATGTTTTCAGTGAGCCCCAATCAACTGTGATTTATGTTTTCATGAGTACTTCTCAGCTTTCCAACGGATCCGTCAACAATTGAACGATCCCAAGTTATCCCGGGTGCCCGTATTGAACTGCAAAAATGCTTGAGTTAAGTAGCGACATCTGTTCGACTCAATGTCTGACTCCTACAAAATCTCAGAAAGAAAATGACGACAATCACGAGAATTCGAGTTTAAAAAAAAAGTAGAAAGAATGGACCGGAGGCGTACTTCTTCATTTAACGCATTTTTTTTTTAAACGGATAAATTTAAAATCTTTACAAAATTTTAAATTTTTTCATTGCATTCTCAAGCAAAATATAATTTCGCTCTACGAAAATTACGCAAAACGTTAAGCGGGGATCCGTTGTATTGTAAAAATTCATAAAACAGCGAATTCCAAAAAACCTTTCCGTGAAATCGACGGTAACACGAAATCATCAATAGTCCAACGACGCAGTTTTCGAGCGACATCATTTGGTCACTGAACGAACAATTGAAGTCAACTGGCGATAAAATTTTACGTCGTAAATTCTCATGATGAAAAATCAAATCACAGGAATTTTCTGAATAAGCCATAAAACAACTGCACGTTGAAAAAAAAAAAAGCGAGCCTAGCACTTAGCCAGTTTTTCATCGCAATTGTAAGCAACTCTGTTCAAAAAAATAATTTCGCGGCACGAAGATCTGATGAAAAATAAAAAAGTCACCACCCTATACCTCAAACATTTTCTTGCCGTTGACACTCCGCAAATCCAACACGGCGAAAAAGTTTTCCATCGACTCCAACAGCTCCTTCAAACTCGGCTTCTCCTCATCCTCGTCACCGTCAACTTCCCTCAAGCAATACTTGTCCAAAACAGCCTTCAATTTCGCATCTTGTCCCGCGGAAACAGTCAAAGCCTTGAAGTTCAACGTGTCTTTGAGATTAATCAACGCTTCGTAGTGCATGATGCCGCCCATTTCCTCGAAGATGTCGTTCAACGTCGTGCCTCCGGTTGTTTTCTCTTGACCACACCGGGCTTCTTTGAGTATGTCCGACAAAGTTTCGCCTTTCCCTTGCAGAAAGTCGCGTTTTCTGCGAAGTCCCGGGTCATTTTCCTGCAGAACTTCCATGGTTTTCTTCCCGATGAATTCCAACGTTCCTAGGCCACCTGCGGATCAAAGGGGAATTTTGAACACTTTATTCCTGAATTTGAACTATTGAAAAATATTCTTGTTTTTGCATGACACCTCCCTTCAAAAAATTTACACATCTAAAGTGGGACCTTTTCTCCGATTTAAAACTTGAACTCAAACAAAAATGCAAGAAACAGCTTTGCTCTTCTACAAGACACAATAAGTCTGAAAATATAATATATTTTGTCACATTTGATAAATTAAAATACTGTACAGTATAAAAAATCCATTTGAAATTGAAATTATTCTTGTGGCTTTTTCTCATATAAAACAGACTTCATTTGCCTAAAAAAATTCTAAAATGGCTTATTTAGCGTCCAGAAGAAAAACTCGACTAAACTCAACTCTCATAGAATAGCCTTAATTTATTGCTAAAAAAACCGTAAGGAAAAATTTTTACCTTGAGTAAATATTGAATTTCTAAAAAAAAACCAAGAAGTTTTCCAACCAAAAAAGATTAATGCCATTGTTCGACTTTCGACGCGGAGAAAGATTCAACATAAACATTGAAAAACTCTCGAGTAAATTTGATTGTTCCTTCAATTCTACTTTTTTTCTCGACGGTATAAAAAAAATTATATTTCAAGACGAAGAAAAAGAAAACCAACGAATAAATAATTAATGACGAAGGAAAAAAAAACTGACCGGATAATAAATGAGATCCGGTAGAGGACAAAGCACCGGCAAACAACGAAAGCACCTTCGGTTCTCCCGAAATCTCGGATTGAACATCTTCGACGGGTTCGGGATCTTCTTTGGGTTTTTGCTTTCCCAATTCCACGTGGGCACGAGCCAGCTCTTCTGGGTCAGGGATTCCCAAACCCCCTTCAACAACGTCTTTCACCGTTGAAATCCCGGAAGTTACCTGATTTATAAAACGAAACTGGATGAATTATTTGCACACACACAAAAAATCGGCCAACCATGAATTTAAGCAACTGAAATATTGAAGGTTGTCGTCATCACTTTCTAAGATGAGAAAAGAGAATCATTGAAACGAAAAATGATCAGGAGTTCATCAATAACTATATTTTCAAGAAAATTTTATGCTTTGTTTTGACAAAACATGCACTTTTATAAAATGCGGAAATACACAGTATCTGAAAATGCAAGTGATTTTAACCCTAAAATAACATTTTTGAGGCAGTTTTCAGCACTCATGCAACAAATTTCGAAATAAACAGTGAGACCCCAAGATGCAGACATAATTGATGCATAAAGAGTGTCCCTAAGTCAAAATGTCCCCAAGTTGAGTCTCATTTTCCCTTAGTCTTTAATTTTTCTCCAGGTTTACAGTGAGACCCCAACATGCGGACAATTCAAGATAGGGACACTTATTTTCTCATACAAAATTAATAAAAAAAAGGCCCAACATGAGTACACTGACTTGAAGAACTTTTCTTACATCAATTTTAGGGTTGGAAATATCTGTGTCTTGTAATTTGGCCTGAATCTTATTTGCAATTTTAACACACAATGTCTACATATGTTGAGTCAGTGTCCTCATGTTGGGCCTGTTTGATTAATTTTGCATGAGAAAATAAGTGTCCCTATGCTAGATTTTCCGCATGTTGGGGTCTCACTGTAAACCTGGAGAAAAATTAAAAGACTAATTGGGCAAATAAACCCTTGCCTTGTCCTACTTCAGCATACTGAAAACTAATTAATTCTGCAGTTTAAGGCCAAAAATCCTAAAATTTCACTTTCCTCTGAATTTTTACATTCATACTAAACAGAAGAAAGCGATTTGTCTCACTCATAATCTTACAGCCTCGAATTTATTCAAATTCACAATTTAAAAATTTTGTTCTCGCTGGTCCCTTCAAGTTTGACCTCACGCGGTTCGACTGTAATCTGAAGAACACGAGTAAGGAAAGAAAAATTGTTCCAATACAGTTTCAAATTGACAAAAACATGCACCTGATTGGTAAATGTGGACACGACGGACGTGCCCCAAGACGCCCACGAACCCCAACCATCGCCTTCGACAGACTTTTCTTCAGAAATCCCATTAGCCTCCTGCTGAAAACCCTTCGGCGAAGGATTCCAAGAATCTTTCTCTTCTGAAATCCACTTTTGCTCATCAACCGGTTCCGAAGCAGAAACATCATCAGCTTCATCTTCTGAAAGCTGGAGGTTTTCCAAACCCGGTTTAAGCTTTATTTCCTCAGGAGCAGAGGACCTGGAAACTTGGGCAATTTTCCTCGGCGCTAATTTCGGCTTCGCGTCGGGCTTCTTTTTGGCGCCGAGTTTCGAAATCCGCGGGACACGAGACGATTTCGCGTTTTCTCGATCATTTGCACACGCTTCTTTCCCTGACGATTCATTTTTTGAAACGAAGTCATCTCGGCAGACAGAAACTGCTGGACTTTGAAGCTTCTCTTCAGCAGGATTATCACTTTTTATTCGGGAAACTGAGTCACAAGACGTTTCTTCGATTTCTTCCGGGACGGAAACTGTCTCAGGTTCACCAGCAGGCGAATCATCTTCAGCTGAAATTTCTGCGGGACTTTCTTCCTTCGAAGGTGCTTGAAGAAAATCAATTTGTCGTTCTTCCGAAGGTTCAGACAAGGCTTCTCTGCAAGTATTTTTTCCGGCTTGAGAACGCACTTCTTTTTTTGCAACATCATCAGGATCTCCCTCATCCGCACTGAGGAAAGCATCACTATCTGAATCACTCATCCTGAAGAAAAAAAATAATACAAAGCTATTCATTGAGAATTTTCAATTCAGTATCAGTACATACGCGAAATCAACAATTGAATGCTGATGTAGCACATGACTGACCATTGTAGTGAAATAATCAATATAAGTTAACGGATGTACAGTTAACCCACTTCAAGTTGAACTTCCATAGACCAGAAAACAATTCATCTTTCAGGAGAAAGAAAAAATTACAGGAAATTGTTGCTATTGTGGGCCTTGAATTCCATTTTAAATGAGTTGACAAGATCCCAAACTTGGAAGCAAAGCTTCACTTTCTCAATTAGTCTTTTACTTCCTTTCAAAATAAATCGAAGTTACTTTTTCATTACTTTTCTCTCACCTGCATCAATAAAATAATAGCCAAAGGGCCTCCAGAAAAAACTTGGAGGCAAAGCTTCACTTTCTCAATTAGTCTTTTACTTCCTTTCAAAATAAATCGAAGTTACTTTTTCATTACTTTTCTCTCACCTGCATCAATAAAATAATAGCCAAAGGGCCTCCAGAAAATTTTAGTTTTGGAGGTAAGCCTTTCAGTCAGGGAGGTTTTAATGCATTACTTTCAAGGAAATTCAGACAGTGACTGAAAAACAAATTAGAAATAAGTAGGTATTCAAAATTAAGGAACTTCAAGTGATCAAAGTTCAACTGAAATACAAGCAGACTTGCAACCGCAGAGAAAGAAACATCAATATACATTTTAATAGAATCAGAGAACATTTGCTTCTTGAAGGGCATTGCCAAGTTTATCTTGAGAATTAAATTGACAAAATTCATATTCCAAAAATAATTTTTGAAAATTCACGTTGAATTCACGTATTAGTGGTTCCAGCTGGACTTATACTGCATTTGTGCACTTCACACAAGTGTTTGCTGGTATCTTATCATTCTTTTGATTGCCTCAACGTGAAAGGGGGCTTATCTGTGAACACAGCATTTAAATACAATGTTTTATTCTATGCAATCCTCATTCCTAATAATGAAAAGAAGAAGATAATAAACTATAGTAAAATCTTGTTACAACACATTTGTTTTTCAGGTCTCAACCCAACAGCAACAATTTATTCAAATTGCTTTATGAAAAATTAATAGTTTAACAAAGCTTTTTCCTGGTCCCAACAGTTTTGTTGTAACAAGATTTTTCAGTAGAACTGTATTTCCTTGAATACCATGTGCCCTCAGGTAAGACATGCAAATTAATTATTCAGCTTAATAATTGTCATAAAATTGTATACCCAAGTAAGAAATGCACTAAAACAGCAATATTTCAAAAATAAGACTGAAAAGAATCTGAACTTGGACAGGAATCAAAACTGAATGCAATTAAATTTCATTTGTTTCCATAAAAAATAGCTTCCTATTGATATTGGTCCAAAATTTCCCATTAGAATCAATTGAACTCCGCACTTGAACATCTAAACTTTCTGCACACTCCTTTTTTCCTCTCAATTTTTACAAGAAATGTACACATGGTATTTGAGTAAATACAGTATTCGAAATTTTGAGAGTTTTTGAATACAAAAATCATTACGCTCCCAAGCGCCAAAACTGAGTGGATTCCACTCATCTCCATATCAAGAAACTGCGCATTGATGTCCTAATTGACCTAGTCTGGGGAGTAGTTTAGGGCACAGAATATAAAATACATGGTCCATTAAACTACAGCTTGATTTTCTTGATCATGTGAAGCACTACAACAACATTTTTTTTTAAATTGAACATTTTCGACGGGCAGTACAACACATCAGATCTTTTGACTAGACGTTACAAATTCCAGGTTCACCACACATGACTAGAACATCGACTCACTTGAGATCACCTTCACAAACAAAAAAATTTCGGACGGAAAACGTTACATTAAAAAAAAAATGATCCACGCCGTAATAAAGCCATTTTCAACTCAAAAACCTCGGATCGAGCAAAGCTTTTGTACCGATATTCACGCAAGCGAGCTTCTTCCGCAAAAACGCTGAACACTGTGCCACTAAAAACGTCAGGAACCCCGAAAAAACGTAATCACAACCGATCGTGACGAAAAAAATGAGCGTTGCAAGCTCGAATGTGCTGAGAGTGAATTCGCTGCCATAGAACAACGTTTCCTGGAATCCGAGTGATTGTTCCCTGAAAAATATCGCTTTATCGGCTCCAGCCTCCTGTAAAAAAATGAACAAGGAAAACTTTTGAGAAATCCATTCCTGAACAAGGGCAAATTTTAGTCCAAAACACGACGTGCTACTTCAATCAAAGCAAAGCACGGTTGCACTGTAAGAAGCGAGATTTACTGTAAACTGCGTTGCGAGTTTTATGGTACGTTTCATAGATGTCGCCACACTGGAGATGTGATCTTATCTACTGTTACTGGATTCAATCTAATCCAGTGATCCACAAACCTTTCTGCACCCATGCAGGAGCAAATTACCATTAAATTTTGGCAAATTACCACTAAAGTGAGGATTGACTTACCCTTATTACCGTATTTACTCAAGTACCATGCGCCCTCAAGTAAGGCGCACACAGGGGTTTTTCAGTTGAAAATTTTTCAAAAATCTTATCCCCGAGTAAGACGCACACCCCAATTTTCAATGGATCTAAAACCATAAAATTTCAAAAATAAAAACAAAAAATTCGACTTCAGGAATGGATTGAGCAAAAAATCTGATCAATTTTCAACTTTTTCAATGCAAAAATGTTTTCTTGTTACATTTGTTCCGAATTTCTCCATTATAATTAAGTATAATGCACACATAACTTCCTAAAACTTTTTGAAAATTTTGTACCCGCTTATGACGCGTACCCCTTTTTTTCTTCTGAAATTTGGGATAAAAGGTGCGCGTGGTACTCAAATAAATACGGGGTATTATTTTTATTTTTTCAACACGAACACACATTTGTCGACTCCCAATTCTCAGCCAGACCTGAAATTCCGCATTGAGCAAGCTCTCGAGGAACATCCTGTCCACCACCTTGTAATCCAATTCCTTCAAGTTATGATCCAAAAACGCGGCGAACAACTTGGTGAGGCCCGCGTGTTCCCGGGCCACGGCCTCCACTTCCGGCGACAACCCAGTCTCTCCTCCTCCTCTGCTGGCCCTCGGATTAGTCGCCTTCGCACCCACCCTCACTTTGCCCACGACCGACGCCAACTTGGACGGGACCGAGAAAGAAAACACTTGCGAGTCCGAGTTGGGCAACAGGCCCCGACTCGAGCAATGGTCTCGCTTCTCCAGCTCCAGCAACAGATGCATCGTGCGCAAGTCCACGTCTGCTCGGCCACCCGGGGCACGGCCGTGAATGTAGTAGCCGAAATTGTCTCCGCGGAACACGAAGAGGGACACGTTGGCCAGGGAGCACAAGTCCACAAACTGGTTCAGCAGGTTGTTGACGTACCGCTCGTACAGGAACTTGTACATCGTCCACTGCGAAAGATAAAAATACAATCATGAGCATCTTCGACGTGGATAAGAGCGAAATACCCACTACATTTTTAAAAATTTTCAATAAATGAACGCGCCATACCCCGGTAATAAAAATATATGTTACATATGAACATTATGCAACATATAACCATTTATGTTACAGATAAACATTTATGGTATTACTGAACGCAGAGTAATGAACATTTTTTCAACAATGTAAATTCAGGAGTATAATGCTCAAAATTATCCCAACATTTTACGTGAGAATCGTCCACTGCAAAAGAATAATTAATAATCACAAGCATACGGTAATCACAGCACCGTTAAAGCTTCGAAGTTGATATGAACGAGAAAAAAACCGATTTATTTATGAAAAATTTCGATGACGGAAGGTGCCATATGCAATGACAAAAATACAATATTTCCAAGAAAGTAAATTCAGAAATAGAACGCCCAAATTATTCCGAGCATGGACATATGATTCAAAATATCAGCAAAAATTGGAAACAAAAATCACTCACTTGAATAGTCCAACAGAACCCGAAAGCAAGCGTGACCAGAGCAACTCTTGAAACATACGACTCCCTCACGATGGCTCCCGGCACAAAATGATCGAATTCTTGGGGATCCGCTGCAGTAGAAGCAGCTCTTGACCAGCCGAAAGTTTCCAGGGCCACCACAGCACCAAACACTGTCACAGCCGGGGAAACTCTGCGATGAGTTTGCAAGGCAAGCCATCGTTCTGCCAGGGCGTAGCTCCTCCAAATGCTCACCATTGGCTCTTTAGATTCCTGAGAATATGGCATTGCAATCAGAATTAGAATAGAGACACTCTCAGGTCAGGTCAAGGACAATTTGAGACAGAAACAGCTTGAGACATATACAATTTGTAACAGGAACATTTGGAGACATGCACAATTTGAGACAGGAAAATTTTTTCGCAAGTCATGCATTATTTGAAACAGGAGCATTTTGAGACATGTATTATTTGAGACAGGAAAAATTTGAGACATGTCCAACTTGAGACTGGAAAATTCTGAGACAGTTATCATTTGAGACACTAACATTTTCAGACATCAACATTTTGAGACATATTCTATTTGGAACAGGAACATTTTGAAACATGGCTAAAACTGTCCTAGTCACAAATTTTCGCAGCCTGAAGTTTTCTGTCATGAATTGCCCCTGTGTCAAATTGTCTCTGTCTTGAATTGTTCCCAACAATAGTCCTTTTGTCAAGTAGTCCTGACACCAATTGTTATTTACTTGGATTGTTCCATCACAATTTTTTCTTTCTCAAACAGTCCATATCGCAGTCAGGTCACTCCCCAATACACTCTGAAGAATTGTTTTCCCAACAGTCTCAAATCTCTACCTTGTTTGAGGCATCGTCCTTCATACCAGGACTGGAAACTCCACCAGCCAGAGGACGCTCCCAGTCCAGAAAGAAAACCCCTGCAGTCGCCTGGTCCCACAGCAACAGCCCCACATCCACCGCCTTCACAACAAAGACCAACACAAACATCGCCACAAACAAGTCCTCGTCATCCCCAGGCAGAAACACAAGCGGCTCAGCCTGCAGCCTAAACACTGCAAACCAGGCAATCGCCACACTGCCCATCACTAGGAACCCGGCATTGGCAACCGCACTCGCCGCGTAAACCACGAGATGAACCCCAAAACAAGCATCTGCTCCGTTGGCAACCCCGGAGCCACGTCTTCGCAACCACATCCATGTTCTCGCAATGCCCAGAGACAAGGCGACGACTGACATGACTCCGATCGCGATCCCAATGTCTCGGTAGGCATCGGAAGAGTCCGTGACGAAGTCCACTTCGGCTTTCAATTGACCCTTGTTCGCGAAGAATAGCTCGAGTGCGATCGGATGAAGGTACCCGGTTTTCCCGTCATTGCCTTTCCGTCTCGAAACCTTGACTTTCATCAGAGTGATGGAATTATTCTCAGAGTCTAAAGCGAGTCTCGTGATGTCGCCAACTAGTCGCCCCGAGTAGTCATGAACACGAACTGGTACAGACAACAACTTCGGGTCGTTCTCGTGATCTACGAAGCTCATGTAGATGTCCAGGAATCTCTTCTCTGTCCGAAACAACGAAGCATTCGTCTTGAAGCCTTGACAATTCACACTGTGAAACAATTTTGAGAAAGAAATGGAAAATAATAAACTCATCAAAGGACTACGCGAGTGACACTAATTACAGGCCACGGTTGGTCTCTGGTTTCGAAACGGAAACCTACGATCTCACCTTCCCAGAAGAAAAACACTTTCGATTGGACTGTATCGTCTCAAATGATAGATGGATAATTCTTCTCAACGGTAAATTTCAAGAATTATCCGTATTTTCAAAGTTATAAACTCAGAATCACGCGAATTTAGTCGAGGATATCGAACAATTTCAAATACACAGTTGAACTTCAATAACTCGAACCTCCGTAATTGAAATTTGTATCGAGTCCCTTTCAGAATTCTCACAGAAACAATCGATAAAAAAAACCTCGCTCACTCTAAAGTTTTCCCTTCAACCCTCCATAACTCGCTTTTCGGCTATTATTTCATTTACACAGGAAAGAGAAAAGCAATCACATTTTGTAACCATGTTCTGAAAGGAAGTGAAAGACTAATTGGGCAAATGAAGCCTTGCCTCCAACTTCAGCGGCCCTCATTGGAGAAGAAATTAAAGGCCCAGAACATGAAAAATCACGAATTGTCATTGTTTCTCTCCGTCAACGAAAATGGTAGTTTGCCTAACTCGAAACCTCCCTGACTCGAATTTGTTGCCGATTTTTTTGAAATTCCACTCAAGGAGTTCAACTGCAATACTCGATGCCATCTCAAGAATCACGAATAATTCGCGATTTATCTCGCAAGCGTTTGAGGAGATTCATTCGGTCACTGAGACACGAGTTACAAATTAAAAGGAATTCACACAAATACATACAGGAATTAAATACTCGTAAAGCTCACGTAGAATACCCAATGGAGTGAACGTACTCATAAGTGATGCCATAGAAAACGAAATGCTCGCCCAGTCCGGGACAGATGCTTCGCAGGAGATCCTCAAACGCGAAGAACCCTTCAAATCGCCCATCACTCGTAAAACTCGCAGCCACAAGCACCACCTTCGCAGCCTTCCCAAAGTGACTGAATCTATGATCCACAGCGTCCGAAGCCAAGACTCTCTCCACACCCCGATCTTCTCCGTAGAAAATCACGGGTAATCCGAAAATCCCGGCACCGGATTGCTGCGCATTCCGCAACTTCTTCATCTCTCCACACGCCGGACCATTCACTGCAGTTTTCGCGAATTCCAACGCGCAGAAATTCGCCACTTTTTGACACGCTGTCGAGTTGGCTCCGAATCTGCATTGCAAACTCGCCAGGCGGAGGATCGAGTCGGTGACAGATGTCCAAGCAGCGATATCGATTTCGCGAGCACATATGGATGACGAGTTGGCAGAAGGGCATTCTTCGCATTTGTCTTGGATTCCTCGCAGACGAACGGTTCCTACAGGGCAATGGCAGCCTTGGTTCCCATTTGTGGAATTGGCAGGACAAGCAGCACACCTGAGCACAAAAAAAAAAAGAAGAATCGCGGTCATAATTTCAAGAGTAATACTGAACAGAAAAATAAGATCCCACGCCTTCCGGTAATGCATTAAATTCGCTTCAACGAACATTCTCTCTTCTCCATTCAACACGGCACCATCGAATTATTTTATAGACCATTCTTCTGAGGTCAGCGATACGCATTACTGTACTCTAGCTCCATTCACTGCCGACAATTTCTTAGCAAAAAACATAGCTTTTAGAATGTAGGACGAAGTACAGTACACAGGAAGAAGATTACAGTTGAACCTCCCGAAGTCGAGTGCTTGCCTGAATTCCCTTAGAGACAATGCATTAAAAAGCTCCCCACCTCGGAGGCTTTTGTGAAACTTCGAAACTAAAATTTTCTGGAGGCCAACTTTGTTGGCGAACTAAGAAAGAGGAAAGCAATAAAGATGTAACTTGGCTTTAAAAAAGGGAGAGAACGACTTATTATGCAAATAAACCCTTGCCTCCACATTCAGCTTCCTGTCAAATCATTTGGAAAGGAATTCCAAACCCAAAATATCACTGATCACAATTTCCTGCAATTTTCCTTCCTGTCCCTCAACAAAAACAATAGTTTCCCTATCACTCAAAACCTCCCTAACGCGATTTTTCTGGCTGGTCCCTAGAAGTTTGACTGCACACAAAATGAATGTTACATTTGATACAACTCAAAGGACTTGACAAACGCCTGAAGTAATGTTCACCTGATTTCCACTGGATCAAAGTATTCCTTGTCGACGCGACACTCAGAGGGTAACACTCGTTTCACAGGTACATCGAGTCGCCGATTAGATCCAAACCCAACGCAAAAAGTAGCACAAACAGAAATGGCAGCAAGCTTCCCTAGGAACATTCTGAAAACGAATTCCTCCAGAGAATCAATCCCAAACTTTCCACCCTCATACACATTAAAGCAAATCAAATGAGTAACGAATCAATCCTGGATACGCTTTCTTTAATTTCAATGTCGGACGGACATTTTCCGGAGAGACAACCGCACAAATATTAGCCTCAAGAACTGAAAATCCTTGAGACACTCATGAGTAAAGTATGAGCCAATGCCAGGCTAAAAAACGGCTTTATTTGTTAAATGTATGTCACATAAGAAGACTCATACAAGAAAACCAGTGACAGATGCGCGCCATAAATTCAAAGTCAAATTTAATGACGTTCACTTTTGAAACAGCGATGAGTTGAGAGTGTCCGTAGCGTCATCAAATTGTCAGTTCGTTAAATGCGGTTGTCTTGAGATAGATGAATCTGGAAATGCCACAAATGAGGTTTGAGTCACAATTTTTGCCAAAATTTCTGAACGCGAGATTGCAACAGAATGGTGAAGAATCGCCAATACAGGGTGTCCCAACATTTGGACCTTCCATAATCCTCGAAAAGGAAAAATTTCTTTAAATGAAAAAGAATTTTAAGAGATTTGAACATACAGTACCTGAAAAAACCCAGCACATGTTTAAATTTTCATATCACATGAATCAATGAACTTAAACCACTGAAATAATCCTCACAGATTCAAATTGACATCAACAAATTTGAAATAATATTCGATCATTACACTCCGAACTCATATGCATGGATTTCGTGACACCTTGAAAAAACTGAACAGGAAATCCTGCCATGCGGGTGCTCTAGAGAGAGAGTTGATAACAAGAATTTAACATTATATCAATTTTAAGATTTGGCTTTGCTAGATAATCAGTATTTTGGCTGCATAAATGACCATTGAAAAAAAGATAAAAAAAATAGTTATGAAAGCTAAGTAAGCTGCATCCATTGAACATTCATCACAATTTGCATCAAGACACTTCTTTGTCCTTTGTCTCATACATCATTACAGAATGTTGTACTGACTTGACATGGATTTGGTGCTGGTACAAAAAAATTTAATTTCATTTTACATAATTCTACACTGAAATGGGTGTGCTTTCTGCTTGGGTGCAAATATTTTCACAAACTTAGAAACTTGGGTTCACATAATCAAATAAGAGAATCATAAAATTTTTTTTTTCAAAAAGCTACGCATACAAAGAATTTAAAGTTGAACAAGAAACTGCAATTGCTCTCTATTTGGCTCTGTTTTATACTTGCAACTTTTAGGAAATCCAAAGTTTGAATATGCATCTACTGCGGATGCAAAATTTTTAATAATCAAGAACTGCATTCCCCGCCTAAAGCAGGGATACATTTTTACAAATACTTTCATCTACAAAATCAAGGTGGCTTGTCCTACTTGAGAGAACATGACACATGAGTATATGCAATATTCATGATCCTGTGATTTCAAACACAGCATCCATCCCAAAAAATCTTCTTAGCCACTTACAAATTTCAAGTACACACTGCAATACTCTCATTGGTCTCATACCTTTAAGATAAACTATAACAGTGTTCCCAACCTGTGGTCCATGGACCAGTGCCAGTCTGCAGAAGTTATTCGCCAGTCCATGGGACATTCTCTGCAGCACAAAATATTCATCAAACTAGCAATGAAATCTGTCATCTTTATCAGAAACTTTGGAGAGACAATGGCAGTTGAAATTATCTGATTGAAAGTGAAAGTTTGCTTTTCTCATAACAGTGCAGGCAAAATTTCACCATCTGAATTAAATTAATTTCCTTTTTCAATTCCTAAAAACTTTTCTTAAAGCCCAACTTTCTATTTCTTGAAGACATCCCACTCGGCCAATCCTCTGATTATTGAAGTTTTCAACGACAAAAAAGGCATAACTATTTAAATTCTTGCCATACGAAGTCTTTCACATGAAAATTTTCAAGTCTGCAAGATTTGCATGAAACTTTGCCAGTCTGCAGAAAAATTTGGGAATTTTGCTGGTCTGTGGGCCCAAACAGGCTGTGGAACACTGAACTAGAATATTTTTATAATTCAGTTGTTTCTCTTCACTGATACTGCAACAATTTTCAATTACTCGAACCTCTTCATGTTTTATTTTTTTAGGATTTTTACAGTCCCTGTCCAAATTCTCTCTTTTACACCTCCATAACTGAGATATTCTGGAGTTTTCTATCTATTATGTTAAGGACACAGTAAAGATGAAACAAATATAACAGTAAATTGCTTTTTGTGAATACTGTGATTTGAAAGGAAGTGAAAAACCAAAATGGAACAAATAAACCTTAGCTTCGAAGTTCAGCATCCTACCAAATTCTTTACAAAGCAGTTTTGGACAAAAAAAACCCCTAATTCTAAAATCCTTTAATTCTTCTTTTATGTAAGGCAAAAGTTGTAGGTTCCCTAACTCAAATCCTCTTTAAATCGAATATTCTCGCCTGCCTTTTTGAATTGCACTAAATTAAGTTTGACTTGAATGCTAAAATCCCATAGGTGATTTCCAAAAAATAGCAGGCCAAAGTCAATTTCAACAATCATAAAAAAAAACTATCTGTTTTCTGGCTAGTGCTCAAAGACGAATTCAGAAGTGATGAAATCCTACATCCAGGTATATTCAGCGTCGGATAAATGTATCCAGGAATGTCTTGAAGTGACCAGTTTTCGTGTCGTCTTTCAATGCTTGATTCAACCTCAGTTTTGTTGCCTGCTTGAAACCCATTTTCTTCCCAAACTCGTAAGCAGATTGTTCATTGTCCACTAGGTCGATGTGCCCTGTAAACAAACAAAACATCCTGTGAAAAACGTCGCTGATATTTGCAAATATCTCATATTCACCGCCAAAATCGCCATTCAAAGGTTTCAATGCCCCCTGTAAAAGTGTGGCTGAAAAAAATAAATGAGAATTTTTCAATGGAAAGAAAAAACCAGAGATGTTATTTGAGCACTGAGACACTTACCGTTAGAAAAGCACGCAAAAGCGACGAAATTCACAAACAACAAAACTAGCAATTTTTGAGAAGACATTTCGAACTGCTTATGGATACTGTTGATCTATCTCTCACGAGTTCCTCATGGACACAGGCCTCTTTCAAAGCACTAACCGTGAGAAAGTGGACACAAGAATCTCTGAATCGAATCAGTTGATATGATTGAATTTCGCTTCAAGGGCGGGTAATTGTGTGGGAAAGAGCATGATCATATTATCGGGAGAAGTAGAACTAGAGGCACAGCATCAATTTATGCGCCTTCCTTCGATGTTCCGTTTCAAATGGTTCTTCTTTTCTGCTTTTGAGCATGAAACAAATGAGATTATGGATAAGGAATCGCTGTCACACAGAAGAAAACCTCGCACTTGCATGAACAGAACAATTTGTTGTGGGAGTATTGCAGTGTTTTAGAAAATCATATTGGAGTCACGATTGGCACCCCTACACACATTTTGCGACGCAATTTAAAATTGGGCAGATTCTGTGGATGTTATTACATAGATTTCTAGTACGACACAGATCGTCACAAATTTGAAAAAATGAAAATATACCCACCCGAGGAAGAGCTAACGTGACAATGAATAAATTACGGCACATGATTTCATCCTTCTAAATTATGACCCGCTGCCCTACGTTTCTTTACAAATGGAAATTTCAACACTTGCAAATGGAAAAGTGAACTCAGGTCCCTTCACATTTCGAGACATTTTCAACACATCAGACTGCGAACCACACTTCTGTGTATCTAAACACTGTTACGCAATGACAGAGGATCCACAACCACTGAATTTGGAAAGAAAGGAAATTCCCCCTCCATTAAAAACAGACGCATGTCACTCCAAAACACTGTAAACGAGATCAGTGCTGAATGTACAGCTCAGTTTATGAGGAAATATTAATAACAAACAGGAAACACTAACTTGCGCAACTTATTAACTCAGTTTTTCTCATAATTTGTGGAAAAACATACCATTACAGAGAAATTCGTGGATTGAACACGGAAAGGGTAAATTCGAGCAGTTCCCACTTACACACGAATTCGTGAAATTGAAAATACACACACCAGGAAATGCGGAAATATTTTTTGGCTCACCTTCTCAGCAATAACACAGATCTTCACTACGGTGTCGACTTCTTCCACAGAAATTCACAACGGATTACTCAGTCCAGGTGAAGCAGCTAGAACCTCATCTCCAACTCGACCAGTCGCATCTAAAATTAACTTCGGCTCATCTTCAAGTAGATCTTGATCCGTCTTGAACGGGCTCTCATTTTGATTGCAACGAAACTCCCCCAAAGCTTCTTCAACTCTTCTCACGTGATTTTTGGTGAACGCAGACGCATTGTAGGGACTGTTCTGAATTTTCTTGGTGGCTTTCAAGGAAGCTGATGACTCCATGCTTAAATCTGGCGGTGGATTTTTTCGTAGACACGATGCCAGGTCGGAGCATATGACTTCGTAGTCAACTCCTCCGCAATCCTTTGGAACAGGGAAACGATCATATCTGTAATTCAAAACACAAAGGCGGGTTATGAATTGGATTCAATGTCAACAACAAAAACTAGGACATCAGCAACCCTTGAGGTGAAAGGGATCAAGGATGGATTATTGGAAGCATTTGACATCTTATTTGACATAGTACGGATTTCCTGAACACGAAAATTCGGGTTTATGATTTCAAGACGAAGGATTGAGGTAAGCTCGGTTCAGATTCTTCAGTGCATGACTTTTGTTTCAATAGCTTTGTCAACGCGCAAAGATTAGGCTCTTCCATCACTAACATGTAGTCATATTAACGACCACAACACCCTTCACTTTACGCACAACCCTTTCAAGCTAATGTATTTCCGCTACGCTTGGCTGCGCCTGGTGCGCTAGCAATTATATTTCACAATCCCGTTGTTGACGGAATACTTTCCCGACCGCACTCACGCTTCCTTCCTTTGGAATAAACAAAGCATGATGTCCCCGATCCGAATCGGTTTCTATGCGCATTCCTCGACCTTGGCCGGCCGAAGCTATATATACAGGTGCATTTTATGTTGCGTTAAGTTTTACCGCACCAGACTCTGTCCGAACGCCAAATCTACGCCGCTTCACTCTCGGTAGAAAATATTGTATCACTGTGTGAAGATAAATAAATAAACATTTGAAATACTCTCATGGAGTAACTTTTGCGTTTCCTTCGAAAGTCGCAGAAAACGAATTAAATCTCCAATCCTCTTTTTCATTAATTATTAGAAAGTAGTTCTCAACGACTGATTATCGTTGATCACCAACTTTTGTAAAATAGTTTTTGGATAACAAATTTGGCGCAGCCAAAGTTTTCTTTTTTGGAGGGGTGGATCCCTAGAGTTGCTGCAGTTAAAGTGCACCAAGTGTAGTGGTTCTTGCAGGTGACGCGATTGCTGGTGAAAAAAGTTGAAAGTCAGATGAGAAAAAGAGACTGAGGTAAAAAAGTGTTTCTAGAGAGATTTGATAAGAGTTGCTGCATTTAAAGTGCACCAAGTGTAGTGGTTCTTGCAGGTGACGCGATTGCTGGTGAAAAAAGTTGAACGTCAGACGAGAAAAAGAGACTGAGGAAAAAAGTGTTTCTAGAGAGATTTGATTGTTGAGTTACGAATCAATAATTTTAAGTTTCTCACCAACGAATTGTGTACAAAATTTGTTAACAAAATCTTTTACCCAGTCCAAAGAAAAGTAAACTTAAAAACACCAGTCGTCACTAGAAAAGGGATCCCCCGCGCAAAAGTGAGAGTGTCAAAAGTGACTACGTGAGCCAAGTGCGTTTAGACAACCAGACCTTGCAAAACACCATGTCGTTGCCTGTCCCCAAGGTAGATGAACTCCTCAGTGTCCACAGGGCAAGAATTGCAAATGAATCCCCTGAGGCTGTGGTCGGATATTTAACTGAGTTAGTGAGATTGCTTCAAGCTGAGAACGTCAGGGTTAGAGCACTAAGAGATGACGAACCTAGACTTTTTGCGGAAATCAGAGCAACACTAACAAGAGAAATTGAGTTCTGAGCCGATCAGCTTAAAAGTTACAACTCGATAATAGAGTCTCTCACTCCCAATTTAGCTGTGCTTAACAAAAGTACGTTAGCTATTGAGACCACTCAATTGTCATTATTTGCAGCCCATTTGAAAGATGAGACCAAAAGGAGAAAGGCCAAGGTTGGACAAGCTTTGGGTATCAAAACCCAGCTACAATCGAGAGAACTTACTTTAAATCAACTTGATGATCCAACCAAGGATAGGGTAGTCTTTTTCAACATGAAGACCTTGCGCGATTCCAGTGCTTACAAAGGTGACAAAAATATCGCAAATAATATACTGGCAAACATCTCTATGTTCTCGGGAGCCAAAGGCACTTGGGTAGACTGGTGGAATGAAGTCCGCCTAGCTCTAGCCGATTGCAAGGTGACCAATGCGCATATGCAATCTGTAATACGCCAGAGAGTCACTGGAAAGGCATAAGAGTTGTTAAACAACGCGACCCCAGGGTTACTAGACCAACCTTATCCTACGATAGTAAGAGCTCTTGAAAAGGCATACGGTGGTGATTTGATGGGTTTGGGCGTGTTAAAACTGCAGAAAATCTTGCAAGGTGACCTAGAGAACATCCTCGATTATTTGGTACGCATTAAGAAAATTGGACTTGAGATGTTGGGAGAAGGCCCCAGTAAGATCAAGGTTTTACGAGTTGAAAACTCTGAGCCTAAAATAGTCGCTAACCCTATGTTAGCTGAGGAAACTTCAGGACACGAATGTTGCATGGCTCAAATAGATGAGATCATGCTGAGTCACTTTATGGCAGGCTTACAACCTGATTTCATAAAGAGATTCAGCGCTGTTCCCATAACGTTAGAGCAAGCGATAGAGGTCGCCACCAATGTTGAAAAATTGAGAAAATTTCAACAGACGGCCGAGTCTCAAAGAGTGTTTTGTACTTCAGCTGTAACCACTAGCGTTAGTCAAGTAGTGCGTACGTGTTATAATTGTGGAAAATCAGGTCACTATGCGACGGAATGTAGGGCACGTGGCAAAGTTTGGATAGGAAACAGTGCGAGTGGCTACCAAGAAGAGCAAAAGGCTTTACCTCCCCTGCAAGGGAGAAGACTAATGCTCTCTTTGCCAGCGGAGAGTGGGCTTCCAAGCATGACTCAGGGATCCCAAGATGGTAGATCCCTGAGTCGCAGCAAAAGTCCCGACTCCCTATCATTGAGCCCTGGCCAAGCAAGGGGCCAGGGAAAGGGCCAACAAGGCAAGGGACGCAAGGGAGTTAGATCTCCCTCCAGCAGTCACTCAGTGCGCACGGATAGGAGTATCCGTGTACACTTCACATCCAAGGAGCAGTTAGATGGCCTGCAAATCAAAGGGATCAAGGAAGTCACAGGCAACGAGTTGGGAAACGACTGTTGACTGGACCTTCCACATCCCAGAAGCTTCCGGTCGTCCTACTCTCCACATCTGTAACTGCTGTCCCTGTCAAGTTTCTAATCGACACAGGATCCGAGGTATCATTAATTTCTCCTTTGTTTGTAACTAGTGATTCCGTTACGCGCACCCCTGGTTTGACACTGTCAACCATAGAAGATCGGAAAATACCCATTCGGGGATCTCTAGAGGCAATCTTGTGGTTTAAGGACTTACTCCTTGCCAAGGCAACTCTGTTAATTACCGAGATAGCTGACAGGGCATTTGACGGTATTTTAGGGCATGATGTGCTTAAAGCTGAAAATGCCGGGATTAATTTTGGTAAGAAGTGCCTTATCATGTCCAAAGTCTGTATCCCTTTCTTTTTGGAAAGAGATAAAGGCTTTCACCTCTGCAAGGAAGTGTACCAAATATCAGGACAGAAGGGAACATCTTTCTGAGTGTACCTGGTCAACACTTGCACTATACCGAAAAATTCTCAGTCTGTCCTCTGGTTGAGACCTAGCAAGGATATAGGCCGCGTTCTTGAAGACCGATCCATCTTAGTTGATAACTTCCAAAATCGGGGAATAATCGTCGCGAAAAGTCTGTCAAAAGTGCAAAAAGGGAAAATCAGGATTTTATGCCTGAATGTCACCGATTGGGATGTACAAGTTACCCCGCGAATGACGGTTGGCGTAGGATCCATCAACGGTATTGCAATGGCCACCCAAGTGATGACGCAAACAACAAAGAAGGTTTTTTCTACAACCAAAAGATCAGCAGCAAATGATGCCAAGAACAAAATACATGGGAAACTAGAAAAGGAAAATCTAGAACAGCTAATCGATGAGAATTTAAACTCATCCGAATGTCCATCAGAATATGTAGAAATAGTCCAAAAAATGCTGCTAAAATATTGAAATGTGCTGGCAAAGAAATCTGACCAGCTCGGACAATGTCCCATGTACGAGGCAGACATACCTCTAGACACGGATTCTCCAATTTACACCCGACAGTACCCTATCCCTTACGAGATGAGGTCATTGTTAGGAGAATACGTCGAGGATCTCCTCAATAATGAAATAGTACAACCCTCCACTTCTCTGTATAACAGCCCAACCTTAATGGTCAAGAAGAAGGATGGAGGATGGAGGATGGTGGTCGATTTCCGTAAGCTCAACGAGCACGTGATAACTGACCCACATCCTCTACCGCAAATTAGTCAGATTTTTGAAGAATTAGGATCGGCAAAGTTTTCTCTGCCCTTGATTTATTGCAGGGATTTTACAATATTATGATTACAGAAGACAAAAGATGGAAAACCGCTTTTTCCACCCCCATGGGCCATTACGAGTTTGTAAGGTTACCCATGGGTCTGAAAAACAGTCCTAGTATTTTCCAGCGTTTAATGCATCTTGTGTTGGATGGATGTTTAGGATCATATGCATACATTTATGTGGACGACATAGTGATCTACTCCAAAAAAGCCAAACAACACGTAGCCCATCTAGAAGATATCCTTTGTAGACTNGGCATTGATATGTTTAATACTTAGTTTCAACCAAGTATTTACCAGATTTACCAGTAAGGGAAGCAACAAAAGTTCTCGCTGGGAAACTTCCCAAACTTCGGGTACATTTCAATAGACTGACAACAATCACCCGGCTCAAAAAGAAAAGCTTGCTTTTCAAAAAGAGCTTCGAAGTGCGAAATTGTCAAGTGTGATACCCAAGTGCGAGAAAAGTTTGCATTCTTTTGTTTCAGCTTCCGACTGATTATTTGGTTACTGGCTTGCGTTATCATTCCCTCATTCGAGTACTTGCGGTTGTTCAGTGCGCATCAGAAGTAGTTCAAACAAAAATCTTTTTTGGAACTTGTTTAAAAATGCAAAGTTTAAGATTCTTTGTTGTGGGTTTTTGTTTCGGTTTTAATATTATTTCTACAAAGACGGAGGATCCAAACTGCAAGTTAATAAGTGGTATTTGGACATGCAAAGATATTTGTAAGGAAGGGGCAAGGAATGCCTTTGCATACGACGGTATCGTAAAACTGGAGGGTTCGGAATTAAATTTGGATTGTGCTGCTTTTAACCGCATTTCGGTGAGTAATGTACACAATCAAAATAACAACAAAAATTCAAGTAATGCACAAATATACATACAAATTCATCATAGCAAGCAGAAGAGAGAGTATAAATTTTCAAATCTTTGCGATAAAATTTTCACAAAACATAGATGGTGATCTTGGATGGTGACGTATCTTGCACGGGAGCCTCAACCAGCTACAACGTAGAATTGGTGGGTGGCGAGTGCGCAGGTGGATCAGGAGACGGATAGATCCACAAATATACATACAAATTCGTCATAGCAAGCAGAAGAAAAATTATAAATTTTCAAATCTTTGCGGTAAAATTTTCACAAAACACAGATGGTGATTTTGGATGGTGACGTATCTTGCACGGGAGCCTCAACCAGCTACAACGTAGAATTGGTGGGTGGCGAGTGCGCAGGTGGATCAGGAGACGGGTATTCTTCAGCTTC